GCTATTGCGGTGCAAATAGCGGTAGCGGAGTCTACCGCTACGATTTCATTGATTGTGGTGAACAACAGCGCTTGTAAGCGCTTTTCGCTTGCCAAAGTGCTCGAAAGCGAGAAATACCAGTAAATAGCGATAAATAGAAATATTGCTCATTTATCTATGCTTGAAGGTTTTATTTTTATGTCAAGTTTCAAATAGTTAATACAATTATGTATCTACTAATCAGTGTTTTTCTATTGTTGAGAAATTTTCTACTAGAGACTTGAAATTTGAAAGAATGTGACCAATAACAGACTTTTTGATAAACATGTATGCTTTTTCGTTCTGTACAATACTTTTGTTAATATTATGTGATCATTACACGTCTATTTCATGCTTAGGATCTCTATATATCATCTAATATATATTTATAGAATTTAAAGCTTTTTCTTTAATTTTTCTTTTTTGAATATTTATACATATTTAAATTGGACTGTTATTATACATTGTGCTTTTTGCCACTATAGCCCTAAGTAACTTTAGCGGTGCCTCACCGCGACGCGAAGCTATCCTTTATCGTAACCTTGTTCCTCAATTGCATTGTAGTTCAATGGTATAAAGGAGGGCAAGCCAATTAGGTTACATGAACATATGAATATTTGGGAGGGAGACGGGACAAAGGGGGAGAATTTTTTTTGTTTGTTTATGTGTTTATTTTGGTTTTTTTTTTGGGGAGAGGGATCAAGTTCTTTAGAGGTTGTGTTAGCTTGGTTGTAGGTTGCAACTAGGTTCTAACTTAGAGCTAGGGGTGGGGCACCAGGTCGGGTATATTTGCAAACTCGTTTTCTTGGCTTGTGTTTAGGCTCGGCCTGACCCGATCCCCATGTAGGATGGGTTGGTCTTAGCCCACTAGTAGTAATGGGCTGTGGGGCGAGTTGGGTTCACCCTACTCCGCCAGCTCGGCTCTGCGAAGGAGCTGAGTTCGCTTGTGGGTGGGTTGGTCCACTCGTCTCGACCCGTTGGGCCTGCAAATTGTCCATTATTGTTCTTATTAAATATGATAATAGTTTTATGAGCATAAATCTATATAATTTGTAAATAATTAAATTGAATTTTGAGCATAGGCAATTGAAGATCTGCATACTTTGAGAGGAGTATCATCACTTAGCTAATCTTTTAAATCTATTAATAACAATGTTATTTTAGATATAATTTTAAGATACTCAAAAGACTATTACAAAAACTGTTAAAAGATAAAACAAGAAAATTTATGTGTTGTGTGGGTCGACACGTGCCATGACCTTGCTTGTTCCCGGGCTCGCAAATGGGTTGGGAAAAGCTATAAGCCTGGGTACACGTGGCCTAAGTCAGCCCTCTCGACCCCTTGCGAGGCATGAGCTGGTTCGCGCAGCCACTGGGCCCGCACGAGCAAGCCCGCGGGACGAGCCACCTTGATCTGTTGCCCACCCTCACTTAGACTCCAATCTCAACTCAATTAAGTGTTTAAGTTGCATGAGTTTTACCTATTTTATAAGTTTCAATGAAACAAACATTTGTTGAAGATCGGAAAATGTGCTTGTTGTGTGCAATGGTGGAGCCAAGAATTTATAATAGTGGTGTCACAATATAAAAAAAAAATATTACTAATTTTCTCTCACATTCAATGTAATATGAACTTTAATGAGATACAAAAAATATATTTAATTAAGTACAAGTACAATTGACTCTATGTATCTTCATGTTTTAAAATCGTTGCACAATTGCTTTATTCGAAATACTGCTAAATACCTCCTGTTCGACATAAGTTACAAAGTTGTCTTTCATCCATTGAACTCCCATCCATTTGACTACGCATACAATTCTTTATAGTTTTCATTGTAGAAAATGGCATTTCCGTGGAAGCCGTTGAAATTGGTATATGTTATCTTGGAATTGGATCTTTTAAATTAGTAGGTCATCTTTAGGTTGGATCACTATATTTGGGTTTGGGCTATTAAGGGCTAATGGGTCACTCATTTTATTTTAACGGTGTCACTTGTAATTAGTCATAAATTGATCTATGGTTTTTTCAGTTATGGTGTCACTTGACACCACCCTCTTGTATGTACATCTGCCCCTGGTATGCGGGTGTTCTTGAAGCCTTCAAGCAGCAACTAAATAACACTACCTCTATTTTTATTAAGAGAATGTTTAGCAGATGGCAATCAAATCATGTTAGAAAGATAACTACCATTCTTTCACCTAATTTTCAAGAAATATCAGCTATATACATGCCTCCAGAGGCCATTTATCTCAAGCAAAAAATTGTCATCATGTATGGACACTATTCTGCTGTTGGAATCAAGCTAAATAATTGATTATTTAAAAATATCTAGATTAGGAGATGTATAATCTATCCGATTTATTTATATATTTCAATATAGTGTAAATCCTTATTTCAATATACAATTTTAGTTCATATAATCCTTCCATAATCTAATGGAACTTGGGGGCTATTGTATTTGTGATCTATTTTAGTTTTTTCCCCTTTTATTTGAATTGTCAAATTGTCTATGTAAAAATACCCTTCCCATAGTGGATATTTGTTAATGGAAAGTAATGTCTGGTTCTTGGGGAGATGTATAATCTATCCAATTTATTTATATATTTCAGTATAGTGTAAATCCTTATTTCAATATACAATATTAGTTCATATAATCCTTCCATAATCTAACGGAACTCGGGGGCTATTGTATTTGTGATCTGTTTTAGTTTTTTCCCGTTTTATTTGAATTGTCAAATTGTCTATGTAAAAATACCCTTCCCATATTAGATATTTGTTAATGGAAAGTAATGTCTGGTTCTTGGTTGTTTGACAGACTGTTGTGCTCAAGGTTGGCATGTCCTGTGAAGGTTGTGTTGGAGCTGTCAAGAGAGTCCTCACAAAAATGGAAGGTTGTTACTCAATGCCTTTTCTCTCATTTCTGCACTTTCTTGAATCTTAGCATTCGAAAACTCTTTTTAATTATCGTTGTAGTATGATATGTTGTTGTTATCCTTTTCTACTATGTTGCTGATCCTTGTCCTTCAAAAACACTTTGGTTACTGCAAGCTTGAAAGGGCATATCCTGAACCATTTTGCATCACTTTTCATGTTTGTTTCTCATGAATGGTTTCTGGTTCAAATTAAAGTAAAAATGATCTACCGAGACTGATAGTCTGATACAGTCTGAATCAGTTTTGGTGATGGCCGATCAGAAACACATGATGAAGAATTGGTCGCATGTCAAATTTCATTTATGGACCATGATGCTGAAAAATAAAAAAGATGACTTTGTTTATTAATTAATCAGGTTCAGATTAGGTTTCTTTCATATGTATGTTCTGGTCTTTCGCCAATATCATCTCCTCTTTTTATAGTGTGCTTTAGAGCAGGGTTTCAGTTAGGTTTCTGTCAAAATAAGATCCCACCCAAATCTCACTGACTCATCACGTAAGCTAAATAAGCTTGTAGTCAAGATGGATGCAGGATGGATTAGAAAATATGAATTTTGACACCATACCAAACCCATCAACTTATGGTCATTTTCTTTTACAGTTGCCTCTCAAACATTAGAAAAATAGTGCAATCTAATTATTAGCTAAATATAGCACCTTGTAGTGTATAATTTAGTGAAGTAGTGAAGGAGGACTGCATCTTGGCATATGTTTCTGGGGTCATTTTCTCATCAAAGTTTAGTATTTATCTATATAAAAAAATAGTATATATATATGACCACTGG